CCCCAAAACCCCAAAACCCCAAAACCCCAAAACCCCGCAGTGAGATAAAAGATGGAAAAGATTAAAGTTTTTAAAAATGGGGAACACTTGCTGAAGAAATAATAACATTGAAGGTATTACTAGGGATTTAACGAGAATATGTATGGTGAAGCTTGCCAGAATTTAATTCGTTGTTACTCGAGTTGGCTTCAATACAATTTTTATTTGATAATTAAGCGATCTTTGATGCTATAAGTTTATATAGAAAGTAAAGACAATTTAGAGTACATGGAGAAAGAAGATTTAGATACTCATGAGAGTTCATCTTCAGAGTCTAAAAAAATTGACTTTGTCAGATCGTAAGTCTTAAAATTTGAGAAAATTTTCTTTAATGAAGTTATCTTTGTTTTTACTAAACAAGAAGATTTGTTAAATATTTCTTTTACTAAGTAGCCAAGTTATTCTGATAGATTTTTATCGTTTGTATAATAAGTTTGTGAAATTAAGAATTGATCAAATATTTTTTGGTTTTTCTTGAGCATTGAATAAAGATATTCTCAGGTGTATCCAAATTCTGTGCGACCTTGATGATCAAAATACTAAAGCTTTAAAAATTCTTTTACTAACTTTATCTTAGCTAATGAAGCATTGTGTTGAGTATTGGTGCAATATTTTAGGTTCCTCTTTTTGCTATAAATTCAAAGATATTTAATAATTTTAAAGCCATATTAACTTTAATAATTCCTAACTTCTCTAGAGTTACAGAAGACTTTGAAAATCACTTTGAAGGTAAGCTCATGGCATAAATATTCTCAAAAGTGTGTCAACCAGCAAATCTACGCTTGTAGCTTTAGTCAGGCTGCATTAGAGCTTCTTGGGAGGAAGACTTAGTTTATCCATAAACAAAAACCGAATCTTTAATAGCCAAATGACATAAATTTAGAATTTTTTACAAAAGATAAAGGAAGAAAGAGGAGAGCAAACACTGAAGATGTAAAAAACTTAAACTTATTCTCTAGGATGCCAAAGTTGGGATGATGCCTGAAATGTTTGGATATGTTTCACAGATCATCTATGAAAAAGGGTAAGAGGACTTAATGACTGATTGAAGTTTTTGGAAATTAGTTGATAATATATTCCAGTTGTCTCAAAATCACTTAATATGTTTCAAACATAACATGGGTGTTCATCTTTTTAATTCTTGAGAAGTATTTGTTTTATAAACCCTTTAAAGCTTCTGATAAATGAGAATATTTTTTCGAAAAGAGTCAAAACTTAGTATTTTACACAAAGATCGTTAATAATGGAGCTTATTTGAATATTTAGTGAATCTCTTAAAACAGGATGGCCTCAGATATTCAAACTATATCAAGAAAAACTTAAGCAAGAACATGAAGAGATAGTTAGACTATTTAAACAAGAAAAGAAGATCACAGATTCCAAGTAAGATACACTTGATGATAATAAAGCTCTATGCGAAAGGGGTTCCATAATTTCCATTATAAGAACTCTAACTCTATTTGTAAGTCTGTATTCGATTATTATAGTCAAAAGTCTATTTCCGGGCAAACATGAGGAAAGTTCAACTATTTTAAAGAGAAGGATTAGAGAATATCTCTTAGAAAGAATTAATTCTGAACTAAAGTGAACTTTGCAATATCCAGACACTTTGAACAATGATATTAAGAATGAAATTATCGAAGGCAGATGTAATCAAAAACTTAAAGAGGAGTATGAAAAGTACAAGGAAAGCATATCTGCTGCTACAAATCCTAGTTCTATAAGAAGGTCCTCGACCTTAGTACAAAACCCAGTTAGGCCTCCAACTGACCATCTGACAATACCCCCTCAAAGACAGCAAACTAATTCAAGCAATCAACAATCTCAAACTCCTTCAAATGAACAATGGCAGAGAATGACGTATAATGACTTAATTGACTAATTAAACCAATTTTATTTACACATTCTCATTTTTGTATTAATATCATAATATTATTATTGGCTTCAATAGCCAAATCTCATCCAGGGGTTTTGGGGTTTTGGGGTTTTGGGG